CGACAAAGAGGCTGAGAAATAAATCAGAGAAACATCACACTTTACAATACCAACAAACAACATAAAGTATCTTGGGGCAATGCTTACCAAACAAGTGAAAGACCTATATAAGAAGAACTTTGTATCTTTAAAGAAAGAAATTAAAGATACCAGAAAATGGAAAGATCTCCCATGTTCTTGGTTGGGTAGGATAAATATAGTAAAAATGGCAATCTTGCCAAAAGCAATCTACAGATTAAATATAATCCCCATTAAAATCCCAGCACAATTCTTCACTGACCTTGAAAGGATAATAATCAACTTTATATGGAAAAACAAAAGACCAAGGATAGCCAAAACAACCCTATACAATAAAAGAACTTCAGGAGGCATCACCATCCCTGACTTTATGCTCTACTACAGAGCTATGGGAATCCTGCACCTGATTTCTTTCCCAACTTCATTATATGCACTGATTTTCTTTACTGATTCTGTTCTGTATCTTTTGTTCTGATAAATTAAAGCTGGGCTGAATTCTATGAGCTCCCTGAACATGTATAAGAAAGCAAGCTTAGCAAGACATGGGGAGCAAGCCAATAAGCAGTATTATTCCATGGTCTCTCTTTCAGTTTCTACCTCCAGATTCCTGCCTTGAGTTCTAGGTTCTGGCTACTACGATTACCACTGCTCTAAACATGGTTGGGCAAGAGCCCTTGTGGTATGAATGAGCATCCTTTGAATATATGCCCAAGATTTGTGTAGCTTGGTTCCCAATTTTCTGAGAAAACACATACCGTTTTCCAAAGTTGCTGTGCAAATTTGCACTCCCACCAGCAGTGGAGGAGTGTTCCCCTTAATCCACATCCTCTTTAACATAGACTGTCTACTATGGGAAAATAAGGATCGGGGAAAACAGATAGGCTGAATAGATGTTTATTCAGGGAGAAACAACAGAGACAGATGAACACCATCAGGTTCCAGTCCCAAGGATGCCTCTGGATGCTCTCCTTCTCCATTCAGGAAGCAAGAGAGAGCTCCAGGGTTCCCAACCCCAGACCTAGTTCTTCCATGTCATGTCCGCCTCTGTCCCAACCCCCAATGGGTGTGGTCAATGCAACAGGTGTGGGCTGGTGGATATCTCACTACAACTGTCTTTAAGGTTTTTGATCTCAGCCATTCTGATAAGTGTAACATGGTATTTCAAAGTCATTTTGACTTGCATTTCCTGATAGCTAAGGGCATTTAAGTGTTTCTCAGCCATTTAAGATTCTTCTGTTAAGAATTCTCTGTTTAATCCTACATTCAAAACAGCTGGACAAAACAGCCCTACAGACTACAGCCAGGATATCTGAATCTTCTTCAAATCCACCAAGACAGCACCCCTTACCAGCAGGAAGTAGTTTGGAAAGAATGACGCCCAAATTCCCAAATATTGTGTATAAATGTTTGTTTTCATTTAATTGGACTGTTATATAAAATTAAATAAAATTTAAAAAAAAAAAGAATTCTCTGTTTAAACCGGGTAGTGATTGCCCACAACTTTAATCCTAGTACTCGGGAAGCAGAGGCAGGAACATCTCTGAGAGTTGGAGGCCAGCCTGGATTACAAGAGCTAGTTTCAGGACAGCTAGGGCTACACAAAAAAATCCTGTCTCCAAAAACCAAAAGAAAAAAAATAATTCTCTGTATAAATCTGTATCCCATTTTTAACTAGATTATTTAGTATTTTGATGTCTAGTTTCTTGAGTTTCTTGTACATTTTGGGAGACTGTGAGCCTCATAAAAAGAATTGGCAATGTTCCTTCTGTTTCTATTGTATAGAATAATTGGAGGCTTGTTGGTATTAGCTGTTCCTTGAAATTCTGATAGAATTCTGCACTGAGACCTTCTGTTCCTGGACTTTTTTTGGATGGAAGACTTATAATGGATGTTTCTATTTTCTTAGGGGTTATTGGTCTTTTTAAATAAAGATTATTTGGATTGGTTTAATTTTGGTATGTGGTGCCTATCAAGGAAACTGTCAATTTCTTTTAGATATTTCAATTTTGTGGAGTACAGGTCTTTGAAATATAACCTCATAATCCTCCGGATTTCCTCAGTGTCTACTGTTATGTCCCCTTTTTATTAGTTTGGGAAAGGGTTTGTCTATTTTTGGTGATTTTTCTCAGAGAACTAACTCTTTGTTTCATTGATTCTTTGTATGATTGTTCTTTGTTTCTATTTTATTGATTTTAGCTCAGAGTATTATTTCCTGCCATCTATTCCTCCTGATTGGTTTTACTTCTTTTTGTTCTAGAGCTTTCAGGTGAATGGTTAAGTTGCTAGTGCAAGCTTTCTCCAGATTCTTTATGTAGGCAATTAGTGCTATGAACTCTCCTCTTAGCACTGCTTTCATAGTGTTCCATAAGTTTGGGTTTGTTGTGGATTCATTTTCATTGAAGCCTAGAAAGTCTTTAATTTCTTTATTTCTTCCTTGACCCAGTGATAATTCAAATTCTTGTTCTGATGGGAGATGCCATTCTGTAAATATGTTTCTTGTATTGGTTAATGAATAAAGCACTGTTGGCCAATAGGAAATCAAGATAGGTGGGGCTAGGAGACAAAGAGGATTCGAGGAAGTAGTAGGGAGGAGTCAGCATGTAAAGACTTGAGAGAACAGAGGTCCGGGCCTCTCTCCAGTAAGATGAAATGGAAATACTTAGATTAATAGAAATGGTTAATATTTAAGACAGAGCTAGCCAATAAGAAACTAGTAACTGGCCAACAGCATTATATCAAATTCAGAATCTCTGTGTATCATTTGGGGCTGGCAAGGCAGTGGGACCAGACCGTGGAAAAACTACTCTTAACATTGTTCAATTGTTCAGAGAGTTGTTCCATTTCCATGGCTTTGTAGGCTTTCTGAAATTTGTGTTGTTGTTGAACTCTAACTTTAACCCATGGAGTTAAAATAAGATACAGGGGGTTATTAATTTTTTTTTAGATCGGGGTTTAATTCTGAACAGTTTCAAATAAAACTTTGTGGTCATAGTAGGTAAAACAACTATATGGATCAGAGAATAACTCTCTCTCATAACTTAGACACTTTACTACATTTACAGACACCATCATCCCATGTAACCCAGAGCATACCTGTTTTGAATCTATTCATTTCTTTAGGGGACTGTCACTGAATATTGCTAACATGAATGGCTTTATTGAGGCCAGTGCTGAGCTATGAATTATTTCACATGATCTAGAGGAATCAAGACAGAACTTTTCCTAATACCATTACCCTATCAGGAGAATCAAAACTAGTTTTTAAAACATACCTTCACCGTGGAGCCTGAAATGGAAAGCCTTTAAATATACTTGAAATTCTTATGTTCATTGGTACTAAACTTCAAAGATGGCTACAGCAGTTAGCAGGCCAACCACTGAAACCTGGAGGATTCTTTTGTAGTCAAGGTGAGAAACAACTGTGATGTCAAGATTCCAATGCTCATGCCATAACTGGCACTGACCCATACATTTCATTTTCTTCAACATTTTGGCTTTGGAAAATTATGTTTGAGCAAATTTAAAACCACAAGGGGTAACAAATTTCTCAGTATATATTATGCATTATTTATATGATAATATAACAAACACATAATATATATACAAAATATAAATAATATAGTATATAATATGTAATTATATAAGATATCTATTTACTGACTCAAATCCAACTTCACTATGAAAGATTTTGCTTCAGCTTATATTTTATTTTGTCATCCCTTAGAAGCTTCTTCTTTTCTGATGACAACCAGAAAGAGAGTAGTTTGGGAGGTGTAGGGGGACTGGGAAGACAAGATACAAGTAGAAGAAGTAATCAGGATATATCGTATTAGAAAAGAATCTTATACCAGTGAAGGAAAAACTGGGGAAAAATCAAGGGTAATATGTTTCCCCAATATCTAATGTGGCACCATTTCCAGGCATAGGGTATTTCCTGCTACTCACTGTTTTAGAAGACAAAGGGCTCTAACCTTACCATTTTGTCCTCTGGTCATGGCAGTCTTAAAATATCACACAGTAGCAAATAACCTCATGAATGGAAGAATATTTAGGAGAGTACATGGTGGGACAAGAAGTAAGACAGAGTAGAGAGGGGTTAGTTTTACTGATGCAAGGACTAACAAGGGCCCCTGTAAAACAACATTAACACCTTCAGAGAGTAGCACTCTCAAATGACAGCATGACGTCATTATAGGCCTTGTCTCTTAAAAGTGTCACTACCTATTCATACTGTCACACTTGAGACTATCCTTTCAGATTAGCCTATGAAACCCAAATCACATCCAACCTGAGAACCAGACTATTAATTCTGATACAATTAAGAGTAGGAAACTGCAACTACTACAAGTTTCCTTCACATTTTTCTGCAACAGAAAACCATTTCACACCATGTTGAGCATATTTTAAGGACAAGCATTTTCCAGTTCTCCATTTCTGCAGTCATTTTGTAGGCTGGTGGTTTTTTGTTGTTTGGTTGGTTGGTTGGTTTGTTTTTTGTTGTTGTTGTTTTGTAGTTTTCTTTTTGTATTTTACTTTAAAAAAAGAAATACACTCAGGAATGTATATGGCCTTAATAACTTTTATCCCAATCAACCTAACAGGAGTATATTTCAGTCATCATATTACACTGGATTTGAGGTTCAGTCATGGTATAGAACATACCTTTATAATGCATAGACTACTCTTTAAACCATTACAAATTTTTTTAAATCTGTTGAGATTTGCTTTATGACTGAGTATGTGGTCTATTTTAGAGAAGTTTCCATGAGGTGCTGAGAAGGTATATTCTTTTGTGTTTGGGTGAAATGTTATGTAGATACATGTTTGGTTCATTTGAGTCATAACATCTGCTAGTTCCCTTGTTTATCTGTTTAGTTTCTGTCTGGCAGACCTGTCGATTGGTGAGTGTGGAATGTTGGCATCTCCCACTATTAATGTGATGGGCTTAATAAAATTGTTTAAGCTTTAATAATGTTTCTTTTATCGCTTCTCGGCCTTTTGGCTAAGATCAAGTGTAGTATCTGTTCTTATCAGTTTAATAATGTTTCTTTTACAAATGTGGGTGCCCTTGTATTTGGAGAATCGACTTTCAGAAATGAGACTTTCATCTCGATGGATTTTTCCTTCAATGAATATGAAATGTCCTTCTCCATTTATTTTTTATTAATTTTAGTTTGAAGTATATTTTGTTACATGCTAGAATAGCTACATCAGCTTGTTTCTTAGGTCCAATGAATTGGACAATTTTTCCCAACCCTTTACTCTGAGGTAATATCTGTCTGTGAGCTTGAGGTGTATTTCTTATGTGCAGCAGAAGGATGGATTCTATTTTCATATTCATTGTTTTAGCCTATGTCTTTTTATTGGTGAAGTGAGTCTGTTCATATTAAGAGATGTTGTTGATCAATGATTGCTAATTCCTTTTATTTTTTGGTTTTGGTGGTGGTGATAGTATTGTGTTTGTTTCCCTTCTTTGAATTTTGGGGGGGGTGTTGAGGTTATCTTTTGCCTGTGTTTTTGTGGGCTAACATCCTTGGGTTAGAGTTTTCCTTCTACTACTTTCTGTGGGGCTGGATTTGTGGATAGGTATTGTTTAAATCTGGTTTGTCATGGAATATCTTGTTTTCTCCATATCTATGGTGATTGAAACTTTTGCTGGATATTGTAGTCTGTGCTGGCTTCTGTGGTCCCATACAGTCGACAAAATGTCTGTCCAGGACTTGTCTATGGAGAAGTCGGTATAATTCTGTAAGTCTGTCTTTACATGTCACTTGAACTTTTTTTTCCTTTGTGGCTTGTACCATTCTTTTTTATTCTGAATGTCTAGTTTTTTTTTATTATTATGTGGAAAGGGGACTTTTTTCTTTTTTAATTTTTTAAATTTATTTTTCCTATTTTACATATCAATCCCAGTTCCCTCTCCCTCCCTCCCTCGCTCCCACCCTCCGATGCCCCCACCATCATCCCATCCCCCCCCCCCCACTCCACATGTAGGGTGATGCCTTGCAGGAAGGTTCATCTAAATTTGTCAAGACATTTGGAGTAGGGACAAGGCCCTCGCTCCTACCTCTATGTTAAGGGAGTATCCTTCCATGTGGAATGCTCCCAAAGTCCTTTGTGCACCAGGGATACATCCTGGTTCCACTGTATAAGGTCCCTTAGACTGCCCAGGCCTTCTAATTGAGACCGATGTTCAGGGGTCTGAGTTGGTCCAACGCTGGATTCCCAGCTATCAGACTGGGGACCCATTAGCTCCTCCTTGTTCAGGTCAGCTGTCTCTGTGGGTTTCTGTAACCTGGTCTTGGTCTTGTCCTCCCTCTGTGCATCTGGATTCCAGTTTGGCTCAGTGTTTAGCTGTGGGTATCTGCTTCCGTTTCCATCATCTACTAGATGAGGGCTCTATGATGGTGGATAAGTTAGTCATCAATCTCATTATTAGGGTAGGGAAGGGCATTTATGGTAGCCTTTCCACTGTTGCTCAAATTGTTAGTTGGGGTCAGTCTTGTAAGTCTCTGGACATTTCTCTAGAGTCAGTTTTCTCTTCAAACTTATAATGCCTTCCTCATTTATGGCATCTTTCTCTCTCTCTCTCTCTCATTTTGCATATTCCTCTCCTGACCCCTGACCCAGTCTTCCTAGTCCTATGTGCTTTCTTCTCCTCCCCTTCTCTTTTTCCTAGCTCTCTCTCCACTCACTGCCCCCACTCCCAATATTCTCAGGAAATCTTGTCCCTTTCCCCTTCTGTGAGGGACCTTGTATGAATCTCTTAGAATCGTCCTTGTATCCTAGTTTCTCTACAGTGTGAATTATAGGCTGGTGATCCTTTGCTCTGTGTCTAAAATCCATATATGAGTGAGTACATACCATGTTCCTCTTTTGTGACTGGGTTACCACATTCAGGATGGTTACTTCAAGTTCCATCCACTTGCCTGCAAATTTCAAGATTCCATTGTTTTTCCCCCCACAGAGTAGTATAAATGTGCCACATCTTCTTTATCTATTCTTCAGTTGAGGGGCATCTAGGTTGCTTCCATGTTCTTGCTGTTACAAAAATGCTGCTGCGAACATAGTTGAGCACGTCTTTGTTGCATGGATGTGGATCATTTGAGTATATGCCTAAGAGTGGGATTGTCAGGTCCTGTGGTAGACAGATTCCCATTTTCCTGAGGAACCACCATACTGATCTTCAAAATGGCTGTATGAGTTTGCACTTCCACCAGCAGTAGAGGGATATTCTGAAAGGGAGCTCCTTTCATCTAGCATATTTGGCATTCTGTAAGCTTCTTGTACCTTTATAGGCATATCCTTCTTTCAGTTGGGAAAGTTTTCTTCTATGATTATATTGAAAGTGATCGATCACATTGATTTAGAGAACTTTTGGGGGTTTTTTGGTTTGTTTTGTTGTTTTGTGGGGTTTTTTGTTTGTTTATTTTTTTTTTTTTGGTGTTTTTTTTTTTTTTTTGTGCCCTCTTACACACTTTCTGTGTTCTCTTAATCCAATAAATTTCTAACACAAAACATCCAAACCTAAGAATAATAGGGATAGAGAAAGGAGAAAAATCCCAGTTCAAAAGCATAGAAAAACATATTCAACAAAATCTTCTGGGTTCCAAAGGACTCATGCAGTGCCATTTCTCCAGCTCTGCCATCCACATCACACATATCTTGCCTTATAGACTCAATCATCTCCCTTCCACACTTGCTGCTGTCCTTGATTGTCATTTCATGGTCCCGGTATCCCCAATATTATGAGTCCCAGGCATGAGGCAATGAAGCTATTGCAATGAAGCTATTACACTATTGGAGCTTGGTTTTGCTTTGCTTTGATTCTGTGTCCTGGTTCTTGCCTCTTGTGGTAGGAAAGTATTATTTCAGTTTTAATTTTATAGGAGTCAACAATTGAGAAACTTCAGATATTTTAAAGATTGAACTTTCATTTAATATTTACTTATTTCATTATCTGTATATGCGGATGTCTGAGTGTATGTATGTGAACCGCATGTGGCCAGAGGAGATGTCAGGTCCTCTGAAACTGGAGTTACAGTTTTGAGACATCATTTATGTGCTAGGCACTGAACCCAGGTCCTCTACATTTAACCATTGCACCATCTCTCACCTCAGAGACTAAACTTTCAGAGTGTTTGAATGTTTAAAGATTGGGGGGGGGGGGCTTTTAAAAGTTGGAATGTTTTATACTGTGATATTAATATTAATATGGGATCTTGAAAATAAACAAGAAATGAAAAGTTGTTTAATAGTGTTGTATTGATATGTCAAATTGAAAAGTGGTCAATTGCCTTGAACATGCTAGTCATCTGGTAAGAGGAACCTTTATTGAGGAAGATGCCTCCATAACATTTCTTGTAGGCAAGTCTGTAGAACATATTTTAAAGTTGGTGATTGCTGTGAAAGGGCCCAGCCCATTGGGGTCAATGTCACCCTTGGGCAGATAGTCCTGGGTTGTATGAGAAAGCAAGCTAAGTGAGCCATGGATAGCAAACTAGTAAGCAGCAATATTCCATGGTTCCTACTTCAGCTCCTGTTTGAGTTGCTGCCCTGACTTCCCTTCAGGATGGACAACAAGCTGTAAGGAAAATAAATCCTTTCTCCCACTGCCCCAAATTTTCACATATTTACTTATTTTACATAATATAAACACTATTTGTATGTCTATCTGTCTATGTCTATATGGAGACACATAAATGTAACAATCCAATGGAGTATGTGCAAAGGACAGACTGTGGGATACAGTTCTCTACTTCTACTATGTGGATTCCAGAAATCAATCTCAGGTTGTCAGGCTTGACAACATGCACTTTACCTACTAAACTATTCTCTCCTGTTGTAGAAGAGGAGACTAATCAGGAAGGGAGATTTCTTAGAGTAGGGAAAGACAGAACAAAAGAGTATGTGGGAGAGAACAAAGCATCATGTTTTCTCTCATATGGAATCTAAATTTAACCACGTGTGTGTTTGTATGTGTTTTGTGAGAGAGAGATAGAGAGAGAGAGAGAAAGAGAGAGAGATGAAAACAGAAGGACAATTATATGAGGGAGAAAGGAAGAAGACTACTGGGAAGGGATTAGAACAGTAGTATATTGGGGTGGGAGAAAATATGAACAAACTATAATGATAGACATATGTTAAAATGTTATGATGAAAACAATTTAAAAGAAACAAGAGAAGAAAAGACCATATGTGATAGATTACAAAGCACACAGTACGACAAGGGCAGGATTCTCATGAAACAGTTAACTCACCCAAGCCTTTAGCTCTCTCACAGAGAGCCTACCGACATGATATTGCTGACTGAACAGAATAAGAAAACCTAAGGAAGATGTGAGTGTACTGAAGAACTTATGGAGACAAATCTGCTTCTACTGCCAATGCCAAAGTGAAAAGGGAAGGCAAACAGAAAACCAAGAAGTGCCATGTGCTACAAACTCTTATGGCATTACATGACAGTAAAAGCACCGTGGTAGGCTTTGAACTCGGAACCAAGATCTACATCCTGCCATGCCACCTCTTAGAAGTACTAGACCATCCCTCAGGTTGTGTGGCACAGATGTTAAAGCCTTTTCATAACACCAGCAATAAAATAGAACATGAATTCCTAAGGAGGAATTCTCCAATTTTCCAAAGGCATGAAAGTGATTTCCCTCCCAGCACAAAAGCTCCATTTGTGAATCAATGGGTGAGATGTGTTAGGCAGCATCTGCACCTAGAGTCCAGGTTGTTGAGGAAGACAGTGTGTGTGCAATTGTCTGGCATTTCCCAGTAGAGGAAATAATAATACCCTCTTTTTGGATGTGGCCAAAAGTAAACAGTCCTTACTATTGAAGCAAGGCAAATCTCCTTATTGGCTACTCTTAGAGACTTAAAAAGAACCTCTTAATGCCTTTGATTTTTACTCTAAAAGGCATCTGTTTCCCTGAAGGATTAGGGGAAGCTGCTAAATGTACTAAATGGTACCTTTCACTAAAAGACCAAAGGAAGAGAGATCAACAGAAAGAATCCAGTGGTACAGGTCAGATCTGGTGCATTGTCATTCTTACAATGTTATCAGAGCATTAACTAAGGGTGAGTAGGATTGCTCCCTAGTTACCATCATCTGCAGTTCTAGGGTCTCAGCCTTTTCTGGAACTTCGGTAATAGGATGGCCTCTCAGACTT